ATGCACTGCAGGACAGCGGGGAATGAGCAGGTAGTTAGCTGGATTTAATGCAGTTGGGGGCTTTGCCAGTGAATAATGTTGGAGTAAGAGAGAGGCAAGGGAAAGAAGGGTTGCTGCTTGTATGCTGGACTACTCACTGCCCAACCCTACCTGCCCTTGGAGGTTGGAGACTCGTAATCAACCAATGACACAGACTCCAGGAGCAGGTGAGAAACTGCAGCAAGCTCATCTGAAGGCTGGCGATGGAGCTGTGGGTATGAGCACAGGTCTGGTTAGAAGAAGGGTGGTTTCATCGCCGGAGGAAGGAGAAAAGCGAAGGCGATGGGTAACAACAGAGTAAAGTAAGTGTTGTCCGCAGTGGCTGCGGTCCCTGAGAGGTTAAGCAGGCGGACAGCTTCTGTCATGGGGGCGCTTCTGTAATCCCAGCACTTGGGAGGCTGAAGCAGGGAGATGGATGAGTCCAAAGCTAGCCTGGGCTACATTGTGAGACTCTGACTTAAAAAATTAAAAACTAAACAACAGTGGCTGGAGAGATGGCTCAGAGCTTAAGATCGCTGGCTGCTCTTCCAGAGGACCCGGGTGCTGGGAACGTAAAATAAATAAATTGTTTTTTAAACATGGAGCTTTATAAAAACTAAACAACAACCAAACAAACAGAAGAGCTAAGTCAGGAGCAAGTGAGTTGGAAAATCAGGACGTGAGGCCTGAACAGTGAGGGATGCGAGGAATAAGGAACACTTGGAAAATACAACCAAAAGCTGGGTTCCTTTTAGCAGAGGCCTGGCAATGGCGTTAAAAGTAAACACAACGAACTAGGCTTTAGTTGTCTTCTGCCAACGTGCCAGTCAGCCTGTCAGTCCAAGGACTTCTTGTCTCCAGCAGCTAGCACACTGCTGCCCAGGTGCTTATCTCCATGTACACAGTTGCCCTCTGCTCTCTGGCCGGAAAGCTGATTCACCTTTCTCTTCCCACCAAGACCACAAGGCAAAGCCTCAAATTCTCACAGCCTTTAAATGCTTTCTGGTTGCATGTTCCCCTGCCCCCCCCCCAAATAACTTCCAAGATAAGAAGAATAAAAAAAAATCACAATTGAAACAGCACAGGGAATAGAAAGCCTGTTCAAGAAAGTTGTGTTTGTTTTTATTTACTTGTTTTTGCAATGTTGGGGATCAAACTCAGGGCTTGGGCTTCTCAAACTCTACCACGAAGCTACACCTTCAAGCCTCATTAAAAAAAACCAAACAAACAAAAAAACAAAACAAAAAACAACAACAAAAAAAACAAAACAAAAAAACAACCAACAAACCAAATTAAGAAAATTGATTTTAGGAGCATGTGGTTTAGCTCACTGAAAAAAACTTCAGGTGGGGTGTGAGGTTTGTTCATCTGGAAGGCTATTGTAATAAAAGTTGAGCAGCAGCAGCAGTCTGGAAAGGATGCTGGCACACTTCCTTTCCGTGAGGTGTATTACAGTGGAAAAAGCCTCACAGCCATCAGGGGGCCTTGAGGTGGAAGGGAGAGCATTAGACAGAAAGGACACGGTGGTACAGGGAGATCTGAACATGATGGGGACTTAAAGGGAAGGAGACTTGGACAGTAGCTTTCATTAAGAGGGGCGGGGAGAGGGCGGGGCCTAGCCGGGGCGGGGCTGGAGAGATGGTGGCTCATTGGTTAAGAACACTGGCACTGTTCAGACAGAGTGATGTCCCAGACAGAACTACAGGGATGAGTTCCCTGATTCAGGCCGTGCAGCTCCATGTTCTCACCATGTTCTAACTTCCATTTAAAAACTTTTTTTTTTTGAGGGGGGGGCGGTTCGAGACAGGGTTTCTCTGTGTAGCCCTGGCTGTCCTGGAACTCACTCTGTAGACCAGGCTGGCCTCGAACTCAGAAATCCACCTGCTTCTGCCTCCCAAGTGCTGGGATTAAAGGCGTGCGCCACCACCGCCCTGCTAACATTTTTTTTATTTTAGATTTTATTTTATGAATATGAGTGTTTTGCCTACGTGTATGCACATGTATCACATGTGTGCTTGGAGTTAATGGATGACTGTGAACCACCCTGTAAATGCTGGGGACCAAACCCAGGTCCTCTATAAGAGCTAGTGCTCTCACTGAGCAGCCTCTAACAGCTATTTTGTTTTATTATTTTGTTTGTTTTTCTTTTTTCTTTTTTTGTTTTTTTCGAGACAGGGTTTCTCTGTGTAGTCCTGGCTGCTCTGGAGCTCACGCTGTAGACCAGGCTGGCCTCGGTTTGTTTTTCTTTTTAAAAATACATATTTAGGGCCAGAGAGATGGCTCAGCGGTTAAGAGCACTGACTGTTCTTTTTTTGTTTTTGTTTTTTTGTTTTTTTGTTTTGTTTTGTTTTTTTGAGACAGGATTTCTCTGTGTAGCCCTGGCTGTCCTGGAGCTCACTCTGTAGACCAGGCTGGCCTCGAACTCAGAAATCCGCCTGCCTCTGCCTCCCAAGTGCTGGGATTAAAGGCGTCTGCCACCACCGCCCGGCAACGCTCCCCTGACTGCTCTTCCAGAGGTCCTGAGTTCAATTCCCAGCAACCACATGATGGCTCACAACCATCTGTAATGAGATCTGGCGCCCTCTTCTGGTGTTTCTGAAGAGAGCAATGGTGTGCTCACATACATAAAATAAATAAATAAATCTTTTTTTTTTTTTTAAAGGAGCAGGAACCCTGACTTGAGTGATAATTCCTGCTCAGGATCAACAGAAGAGGACATGACAAAAACACATCATACAAATGGAAGAAATTCTCAAACAAACAAACAATTAAAAAGAAATTTCTCAAAGGATCCCGTGACTCATTTTAAAACCACCTTAAGGGAACTTTCTACAGAAAACAGTTCCTCGCCATTGGGAAACTGGTACAGTGCGTTATTGCCTGGACTGGAGAGAACACTTACAGGAAGGGCTGGTGCAATCTGTTAAGCTCTATTGAAAGGTGTGAATCAGCTGAGAAGGAGTGACTGATTCTGACCCGTAAGGTCACTGAGGGCCTGAAGCAGGCACTGACCTTCAAGTTGCAGCTGGGAGTGTAAGTAGGTATATACCAAGAAAGGGCGAGGCCTTTGCTGCCCGTCTAATGCCTGGAGGAAGGACAAGTCCAGTGCTCAAGAGGAACTGAAGGGTGGAGAATATTAGCTCAGGCTAAACAGAGCCTTTATTCTGTAGGCGGTGCTAAACAATTGAGGACTGTGAGGGAGAGCAAGAGCAGAATATTAGCTAGTATTCCTGACCCTACTCTATCTGCCTGGGACTACAGCTTCTCACCCAATGGCTAAGAGAGAAATGATCCTCTCAGCTTCGTCCCAAAAGGAACTGAAGCTGGCAGTAACTCAATAGCATACTTGGATCTCCTTGCTACTATGAAAACTGACTCATTACTAATACATTTTTGTAAAGCTTTTAGGATTAAGAAACCAGTTACTTTGAGACATAATAAGATATTGGGGGGGGCGTAAACAGAAGAAATTCTTGGTTTCAGAAAAGAGCTTGTTCCTTGCTCAACAAGGATCAGCTGGCCCTCCCCCAGCGAACCAACGATACTCCTTAGGTGTAACTACTACCTTCTGTGATAGTCACTTGGTCTTTACACTGTGGATTCAAATGAGAATAAGAAAGTGAACTAAAGATCAGGTGTGGCGCATGCCTTTAATCTCTGTGCTGGAGAGGCAGAGACAGGCGGATCTCTGCAAGTTTAAGGCCAGCATGGTCTACATAGCCAGTTCCAGTCGGGGCTCTGTAAAAAGACCCTGCTTCAAACAAACAAACAAACAAACAAATACAAACAAACGCTCTGTAGAGAGAACCCACCTCAAATAAATAAAAAGAAAAGGAAAAATAGCTGGGCGGTGGTGGTGCACGCCTCTAATCCCAGCACTTGGGAGGCAGAGGCAGGCGGATTTCTGAGTTCAAGGCCAGCCTGGTCTACAGAATGAGTTCCAGCATAGCCAGGGCTACACACAGAAACCTTGTCTCAAAAAAAAAAAAGGAAGAAAGGAAGAAAGAAAGAAAGAAAGAAAGAAAGGGAAAATAAAAAGAAAGGAAAGAAGAAAGAAGGAAAGAGGAAGAAGGAAAGAAAGACCAAACTCACAAGAGAGAAATTAGCACTTGGTGGGGAGGCTGAGGCAGGAAGATTGTGGTTAGTTTCAGCCCAGCTTGGGCTACAGAATAAAATATGTTTCAAACAAAACCCTTCCCTTATTACAGCAATTAAAATTAATCAGTTAATATTTTTCAGAGGACAAAAGTCACCAATGTGTTGTCCTTCACTGGGCACTGTATTCTGTGGTTCTTGTTACTGAGGAAATAAATGAATTCGCTGTTTCTGAGAAGCTGAGTTAGCAGTTACGGATACTCTTTCCACCTGTGTCTTCAGCTTGCCAGTAACACTACGTTTTTCCTTTCAAATAAACGCTGAAAGATGTCCAAATTAGACCACAGGCAATGCTAGAGACTTAGAAATCCTAAAGCAGAGGGGACAGGAAAGTGTGAGTATTCCGTCTTCACTACTATTATTCACTAGGGGTGATTTGTGTTTTAGCACCATACAAGTTGGTTATACAGCACTGCCCACATCATTTAACTCCTGTCTTCTTAATCCGAGAAGACAGATATACGTATCTTACATATACATAGCTTAGTGTATCCGATCCATAAAAAAGGCTCAGGAGAATTCTCAGGTTCTCTTGAAACCCACTCACCTCCCTGAGCCCTTCCCTTTAACCCAGAGGGTGGAGCGCGGAGCCTCCTAGGAGACCAGAGCAAACTGACTGCGCATGCGTACATTCTTGGTCCGGCTGATGCAACTTGCCGCGTGCGAGCCTGCTCTTCCTTGAGTAAGGAAGCCGACAGGGACCACAGGCGCGGCCAATCAGCGGCCACGCACGAGGGTGAGGCAAGTCCGCCTCCCGGGAGGTGAGGGTGGGGTTCAGCAAATGACGTTAGGCGGCGCTGAGCGGTAGGAGTAGACGCCCTCGGTCCTCCGTCTCGTCCTGCAGCTTCCGGGTGTGCGGCTGCGGCCATTTTGAGTTTCGCTTCCTTGAGCTCCCGTCCGCCACCCAACCTTTCCGTCTGTGCGTTTCGCGCCTCCGTGAGGACCGCGGTCTCCGGAAACGCCGCCGCCGCTGCCGCGCGAGGGGTCTTCTCTATGGTGGAGCGGTCTCACACGGACTAGAACGCCTCTTCCCCCGCCGGGATGGACGTAGCCGCGGTCGCCACCGCTTGCGAAGGCCGCCGGGCCGTACGGGACATCGCTCGCTGCGGAAGCCGCCGCTCTCTGGGCCTCCTCTGCCGGCGCGGGAATCGGACTGCAGTACCCGCTTCATGGCTGGGCAAGGCTGAGACTGTGTAGGCCTCGGATCCTGCCCGCTCTGACGCTGCTGAGCTCCGTACTCTTGCCGGAAAAGCTGCCAAGGAAAGAAGATGGAGACGGGAACACACAGGGCCCGGAAGTGGCCTGCCCCTCGGATGGGCTCCTGGTTCCGGCTGCCCTTCCTTCGGCGATCGCACGCCTGCTCCTCCGAGTACCCGACGCCTTCCTCTCGACATAATCCCGGGGACTCCGCACTGCCCGAGCCTCGGACCAGGTACTGGACCAAATTACTTTCCCAGCTCCTTGCTCTGCTCCCTAGTTTACTCCAGAAGCTGCTTATTTGGAGTCAGCTTTTCGGTGGCATGATTCCAACCAGATGGCTAGATTTTGCAGCAAGTTACAGCGCCCTGAGAGCTTTGAGAGGACGGGAGGAATCTGCCGCTCCCACAGTGCAGAAATCTTTGAGTTCACTGCGGCTAGACTCTTCTTCGGAAGACTTGGTTGTCAGTTCTCTTGATTGGCTAGAGGAGGGATTCCAATGGCAGTGCTCGTCTTCAGACCTGGAGTTGCAACTCAAGGCCCAGAAAAGACCTTTAGACTCTACAGTGCACACATTCCTTCTGGAGCAGCAACTGTGGGGAGTGGAGTTGCTGCCCAGTAGTCTTCAAGCCGGTCTAGTCTCCCACCGAGAACATAGCTCTTCATCCTCTGGGCCTCTGAGCACTCAGAGCTTAGGCAATTTCAAGGTAGTTTCCTATCTCCTGAACCCTTCCTACCTGGACTGCCTTCCCCAGTTAGAGCTACGCTGTCAGAACAGCGTTGGGGCTGGCCAACTTGTGGATTTCCGAACACTACCCCCAGAGAGCTGCTACCTTTCTGAAGATGGTTGTCACCCCCAGCCGTTGCGTGCAGAGATGCCAGCAACCGCATGGCGAAAGTGTCCACCTCTCTCTACAGAAGGCTTGCCGGAAATCCACCACCTTCGAATGAAACGGCTAGAATTCCTTCAGGCTAACAAAGGGCAAGAGTTACCCACCCCTGACCAAGATAATGGCTATCATAGCCTAGAGGAGGAACACAACCTTCTCCGTATGGACCTACAACATTGCACAGATAACCCAGCACAGGGGGTGGCCCTTGCTGGAGTCAGCCCGCAGCCAATTAAGAAAAAACTAGAATTGGCGATTGAAGAAGTTTCACAGAGCCCCCAGGGAAGCAGTCTGTCTTGCAAGTTACCTGTGGAAAAAGAATGTGAAGAGGACCACACTGATGTAATTGACTACTCAGATATAGGGGATGACCTTCCTGTTTCTACCAGACCAGTTTGTAGCAACAAACTGATAGATTATATTTTGGGAGGTGCCTCCAGTGACTTGGACACCAGCTCTGATTCTGAAAGTGAGGGTTGGGATGAGGAACCTGAGGATGATGGTTTCAATAGTGATGGCTCCCTGTCTGAATCAGACAAGGAGCAGGACTCTGAAGGGCTTCACCTTTGGAACTCTTTCTACAGTGTAGATCCTTACAACCCACAAAACTTTACAGCCACAATTCAGACTGCTGCCAGAATTGCCCCCAGAGACCCGGCTGATTCAGTGAAGTCCTGGTCTGCCAACTCTTACGTAGGGAGTTCTCAGGCGGAACCCCTTCCCGGGACCCCTGACCATAGTTCTGGGGAGGAGGATGACTGGGAATCCAGTGCAGATGAAGCAGAGAGTCTTAGACTGTGGAACTCTTTCTGTAATTCTGAGGACCCCTACAACCTTTTAAATTTTAAGGCTCCTTTTCAGACGTCAGGGAAGAACTGGAAAGGCTGTCAGGACTCAAAGGCATCTTCTGAGGTCACAGTGGCTTTTTCTGGGCATCATACCTTACTTTCTTGTAAGGCACAACTGTTAGAGAGCCAAGAAGATAATTGTCCAGGCTGTGGGCTGGGTGAGGCTCTTTCTGGAGAAAGATACACTCATATCAAGAGAAAAAAGGTTTGTTTCCTTTTATGTGACTAATTTGTATTTTGACATGGTTACTATAGCAGCATGACTTTTCCTGTGGAAGCACAGTTGTGCATATTTTTGAGGAAGGCCTCTGAGCTCATGTGCTTGAATTGAGAAATACTCAAGTGTGACCCTTCTTCCCAATATAGAGAAATGTTCTTATCCAAATGGAAGATGCCAGAATTAGATGTTGACAGAGGTCTCTTCTTGGTAGGTGGAACCTGAAGGTTAGAAATGATTTTGTATGTATTTTATTTGGGAATATGTAATGTTTTATTTTTTGCTGGCTATATGTCTTTATTCCTGTCTGTTGGAATCCAGAGGAATAATACTATCAAGTAGCAAATTGGGTTTGTTTAGTTGTTTGCCCAGAAAATGTTATTGTGGTGTGTCCCTGTAATCCCAGCACTTTAGAAGCAGGTGGGTTTTTGGAGTTTTGCAGTCTAGCCTGGTCTACCTAGTGAGTTCCAGACTAGCCAAAGATACATGAGTAGGACCTTGGGGGAGGAGGGCAATACACCTGGCTCTCCTACAGCTAGCTGTGTCTCAAGCTGGCCAGAACTCCCAGCCCAGTTTGTTTTTCAGGTCTTCTTATGTAACACAAGTCCTCACTCTGAAGTTCAGGCTGGCCTTTGAGCCTGGTATCTCAGCTTCCCAAGTGCAGGGATAATTGTGAGCCTGCAGGCTTGCTTAAAACTTCATGGGCAGTCCTTTCTTCGTTTTATATTTGAGTTTACTCATGTTCAGTCATTGGAGTTGCTTAACCTCTCTTACTGCTTACTCAGCTGACTTTACTGATAAAAAGATGTCTTCTATGGTGAGGGAGTTTCTTTAGTTCCTTAGACTTCCATTTGGAAAGAGGAACAATGGGTGAGTTATCATTGACCTCTTATTCTGTAGCTCCAGTGCCTGTCAAATGGACAGTGTGAGTGCACTCCTGGTTCTGAAGGGCCCAGCTTTTTAGGAACTATTCTTGGGACATATCTAAATGGTAGTAATCTTATATCTTGCCTATAGAGGCATAAGTCATGCGAAAAGATAAATTTTAGAATGGCATAATGAGAGAGCCTCTATATTTGTTAGTTTATAATTACCAATATATTATTTATAATGAAGTTTGAACAGCTGTCTTTATCCTCTTCAGGACAGACAAACTGCTATTGAGGGAACAGGCAGGAAACCATCGGAGTAGTGGCACGAGCACTTGGCTCTGGGGACCTCTCTGCTCTGCCTGGGGTTAGGGCTGAGATGGAGTTTGGCGGGATAGGGCAGCCAGACTAGACTTAAGGGGTGCTTCCACTCCCCGGTCTACTTCCTCACCCAGTGGAAGTATTAAGATCTGCTGTGGAAGGTCGCAGGCTTGTTTTGTCTTGGGATGCTAGGGGTTGGAGTTGTGGACCTGTCGCATATTAAACATTCACCTTTCCACCAAGCTAGCTACACCTCACAGCCTGAGTTACCAAAATACAAATAAGTAGAAAAAACTCAGAAATGATGTCCATTCCTTTGAATGGCTGAGGCCAACCAACTTCCATGTCTCAGTTTAGTTGAAGACGATTGACTGAACTAGAACCAGAACTTGGAAGAGGTTGTGTCTAGCTATGATAATTGTTATTTGACAGCCGTTGACTACCTGCCGTTCTTTAGTTCTGTGGGAATAATTCGTAGTGTCCAGTCTTAGGGAGGCCTTGGGATCATGGAGTGTGAAATACTTTGTGTTCTGACAAAACAGCAGATTGTCGACTTTGGAATCCGCGTGGTTACAGCACTTAGATGCTATGGGGTTTCAGCTGCTCGCTGGCGTTCGGTTCCTTGTCAGTATAATGGGGGTAAAACCCTTTCATAGCTCATGGGGGTCCACATGGGGGCTCACATGAGAAAATCTTTGAAAATTCTTTGAAAAAGTTTGGCATTTGGTCCACAGTATAAAAGTGCTTATTTTTATTTATCTTAGTGACTGGGTAACCACTAGACTGCAATATCTAGTAAGGTGTTACATGCCTACTAATTGTTCTCGGGGGCATTCCTTGGCCTGATGTAAAGGGAAGGAAAGCTGCAGGCCTCGGCGGGATTAGCTGATGTAACTACTAAGCATGCTTTAGAGCAACTATTTACTTTTGGAGGTTTTTTTTAAATACAGGATCTCATGTAAAGCATTTGGCTTCAGACTCCTGATTGTCCTACTTCAGCCTGGGGTTATGGGAGGGGCCATAATCCTTGGCTTATTAAGGTTGTCTCCGCTGTGGTTACTTTCTGAGTACTCATTGCCAGGGAAAGAATTGTAACATATGGAACTTCTGTATTTCTCTAAGAAATAAAGGCTAACAGAGATCACAGACAAACAGGAAACAGTTCCCATCCAACTTCCGTGCTGGACAAGGAGAGCCATCTATTTTGGTGTCAGTGTGGTGTTGATTCTGAGATCCCAGAGTTACTAACATTGGTTTTTGTCTTTGTAGGTAACCTTCCTTGAAGAAGTTACTGAGTATTATATAAGTGGTGATGAGGATCGCAAAGGACCATGGGAAGAATTTGCAAGGGATGGATGCAGGTTCCAGAAACGAATTCAAGAAACAGAAGTTGCCATTGGCTACTGCTTGACTTTTGAGCACCGAGAAAGAATGTTTAGTAGACTGCAGGAATATGTGTCAAAGGACTTACTGTTGTACAGCAATGCTAAGCCGAGTGAACAGCCTGCAACCCTCACCCACTCTATCTCTTACTTGAGAGCTTTTTCTTAAAAACAAACACTGGCAGCTGTCCTTGGACATGTTTTTAAAGTAACAGCTTGTATCTAGCAATGTAGTTTAATTATTTTTGGTAATGTGTTTAATTAGAAACACCAACTCCGATAATGAAGGATCTCTAATCTTTAATCCTCTCTTTTCCTATTTAGTTGGATGTGGGTTTTGTCTTTTTGAGAGGGTCTCACTGCATAGTTCTGGTTGGCTTAGGTCTATATATGTAGACCAGGTTGGCCTTGAAATCGATACCTTCTTGCCTCTGTTTCCTGTGCCACCATGCCCAGCTGGAAGTGTTTTTAAATATCCTCTGCTTACCTGGGGTGAGAGGTTAATTTTGCACTTTCAAAACATTTCTTCTGGAGGCAGAGGCCGGTCTGGTCATACGAGCTTCAGGCCAGCTAGGCTATGTGGTGAGATCCAGTCTTAGAGGACAAACAGAACAAAACAAAACAGTCAGGTTACTGTGAAGACTGAGGGAGAAGGATAGAAAGTTCCAGGTCTTCCTGGAACTCAGTGAACTCAATGAACTCAAGGCCAGTGTGGGGAGTTTAACAAGACCTTTTTATTTTAAATTCAGAATGGAAAAGGAGGCTGGGGCTATAGCTTGGTAGCAGAGGGCCTCTTGTCTACATGTGCAAGGTTCAGTCCCCAGTACTGCAAAAGAAAGAAAAAACATTGTCTTGGATAACTATAAGGTTTGAGCCTCATATTCAGTTCTAACTCAGATTATGCATACTTATCTAAAATCTTTGGGTCCTTGTATGCTTTTTCTGTTCTAAAATTAATGGGCCTTGTATTTGTTTTCTTATATATGTATGTCTGTGTTATATTTTGAGGTGGGGGATTGAGCTCATGACATTCTTCCTGCTTCAACCTGGTGTTGAGCTATGCTTGTATTTTTTGGTTTGTTTGTCTTTGTCTTTTTGAGTTTGTGTTTTTTTTTTTTTTTTTAACTTTCATAGATTTGACCTATTTGAGGCTAAAACCTGTTGTTACCAACTTAAAGGACATTGTTGTGTCACTTCAGTGGTGGATTTTTTTTTTTTAATTTAAAGACAGAGTCTTGTGTAGTCTAGGCTGGCCTTGAACTCATTATTTAGCCAAGGGTGACTTTGAAAGATCCTTTTGTCCTCTTGTTTGGATTGCATATGGTGGGTGTGCTGTGCATCCAGATTTTTTTCTATGTCTAGGCCTATTTAAGATATTTCCAAGGACTGCCACAAACCCATAAGTGCAGTACTTTCTTGACTGGGGAATCCAGGTTTGGTGTGCTTTTTAAAGGCACACACTGTGATGCCCAGCTGGCCTGCCAAACTTTAACATCTAGTGTATTTGGTTTCTGTGCAAACTGTCCTCTTGGAAGGTTTCTGTGTGTTGTAGTTCTAGTTGAATGTGCCTCTTTGTAGTTTTCAAGAATGGGTAGAAATTGTAAGCACTCTAGGAAGTAATCATTGCATTGTAGACATTTATTTTTTAAACTTAGAAGCCTAGAATTTTTCTAGGAGGTATATGGGAGACATCTCAGAAATTCAGTTTTTTGTATCTTAAAACCAGTGTTACTTATACCCTGCCTCAGCACTGGCACTTTTCAAACCTGTCTTGGTGACACTGTAAACTTGGATCAGATCGTGCAGTTCTGAGTTTTCAAAGTGTGAAATGTCAAATACAAAGGTCAATATCCAGGTTTGTTGTGTTCCACCTTACGTAGAGAGAAGCAAAGCAGAAAGTATAGATAGAGCAGCCAAAAAGTCTTGGTGTCCTCCCCAAAGCTTGCTTTCAAATAGGGTGTGTTGATTAGATGTGCTTGGTTTGTTCAGTTAGCTTCACCTTTTGTGCATGGCTAGGTTGAGGGAATGTGTAACCAGCTCTTTAGTGGTTACATGCACAAAAGAGAGGGTCTCTGAGTTGGCTGTGAGTGTGAGCTTTCCAGAACTGGCAGGGTAACTACCTCAGTTTATAATCTCCCAGGTTATTTCCGTTTGATGTGCTTTAAGGTCTGCCTCAATGGTGATGATGTTCACCCACACACAGTAGTAAGAGTGCAGCACCAGAAACGCTGGTCTTATTTTTGTGAGAACACTCATTTCTGTGTATTTTATGCACCTGCCTTTAGTGAACTCCAGAGTGCATTGCAGAGTCTGGCTTGGTGCTGTGGACCTAGGCTAGTTGAGAAGCTGAGTTGTTTGGAAAGCAGGCATGTTGACTTGAGGAAGAAAAACTGTGACATTTCTTTTAAAACAATACTGCAGTTTAACAACAGTTGATTTCAGACGATTAGGTTTTTGTTTCTGAGACCCAGCACCTGTATATTTGCAGGGAACAGGACATCTGTACATTCATGGTGTGTTTGAGATGTTTGAAAATTGTTCCACATTTCACCTTCACTATTAAATGAGTAAATGACTGGTTACAATAATTATGCCTGCAGACATGGCCAAGTGGTGGCAAGGACAGAAGGTCTTTGACTGAAGGAGAAAAACAAAATGATTGTCATTGTCGTCCCAGTCCCAAGGAAAGAACACCTCCAAGGCCAGGCAGGCTTGGTGGTTCTAGCTGAACACTTTACATATTCAAGTCTCTCAGTGATGCTGTAGATCTGTGTAGCATGTGAGGCTCTGTACAGGTGGGGCCACATTTCTGAGTGCTGAAATGTGGTGACCCTTTATCTAACTTGAAATCAAAACTGTTAGACTTTATTTTTTATAATTTAAGGAAAGTAGAGCTGGGGAATGAGATATTTGAGTTGTCTTCTTTAGATCAGTCATTTTACTTGTAACTAGTGGAGATTTTATAGCTCAGATTATATTTGTATATAATTATTAACTAATCTGTAAATTGTAATAAATATATTTGCAATTATTAAGTGCTATGTGATTTTTTTATGTATTTTATGTTGGTTTTAATATTATAGGACAGAATTTTCAGACTTAGGTCAGTTTTGTAGAATTTGATTTTGTAGAAGCGCTGTAGGCAATTCGAACAGACATCTTGGTCATCTGAATGGTTTCTCCCCTAATGTGGGGAAGAATGGCGAGAGAGGTGCAGTCGAAAGCTACTGTCTTAGTAATAGGACAAGACAGGTTGGATCTTAGAGGGTCCGCCTTGTGATGTGGTTTTAGATAGTTTTTGCTGAGTATGCCAATCCTGCTTCAGCCGCTGGAGAGCTGAGGTGGAGCACACCACTGTGCCTGGCTGCCGACAATCCCCTCTAAGACTAAGACTTCACTCTAAAACCAGGGTCAGTGCTCCAGCAACTGCAAGTCCTCCCCAGCCCTCACCTTTCTTCCCTTATCCTTCCATCTTGTATTAGTGCTATGGGGTCCTTTCAAGTTCCTGGAAGCTAAGAAGGCATCAGATTCCCTGGAGCTGGAGTTGCGGATAGTTGTGAGCTACCGTGTCAACTGCAGCCCCAGATCCCAAGATTTTGTTTTAGATTTATTTTATGTATATGGATGTTTTTGGTTGTGAGCCTAGCCTTTAACGGCTGAGCCATCTCTCCAGCCCAGTATATGGATGTTTTATCTGCACATCAGAAGAGGTCATCTGGTCACATGAGACTGCACTTTCTGTGAGCCTCCAATGTTGGTGCTGGGAATTGAATTGGACCGCTCCAGAGCAGCCAGTGTTCTTAACGGCTGAGCAATGTCCCTAGCACCCCCAGAGTCTTAGGTTAGACAAGGACTTTACCACTAAGCTACATCTTCAGTCTTTTAAAAAAAAAAAAAAAAAAGTGAAAGGGAAGGTTTGTTTTTGTGTTTAGGAAGTTACTTTGTGTGTATGCCCAACAGATCTTCAGAGCTGGAGTTAACAGGAGGTGTAAGCTGCAGTGAGTGCCAGGAACTAAACTCTGACGCTCTTTGAGAGTAAAGGTACCATAACTGTTTTGTCATTTCAAGCAACCATTTAATGCTGGTCTCACCAGTTCTGACTGTTCAGACCACTTCTCTATTCTACCTTAAGTAGCTCTGGAGAGAAAACCCAAGTGACCTGGCTTACATGACAAGTGCTTTACAACCAAGCTTTTTTTAAAAAAATAAGTATTTTATGTATAAGAGTACTCTTACCTTCATGCACACCAAAAGAGGGCACCAGATCTCAGAGATGGTTGTGAGCTAGCATGTGGTTAAACTCAGGACCTCTGGAAGAGCAGCCAGTACTCTTAACTGCTGAGCTATCTCTCCAGCACCCCATCTTTATTTTTTGAGATAGTGTATTAATAGATCTGTACCCCTGCCTATGCTTTTCAGGTTCTGGGGTTACAGTCATGCCACCCCCAATCCCCCCATCACGCACATGCCACTATTGCTTGGTGTGTAGAGAAAGGGTTTTGGGTCTCTTTGGTTATCATACCCAGCTTGGTTATCATACCCAGCTGGCGAGGCTACTTAGCCTTTAAGGTTTACTGAATGCTCATGTCTACTCCCCAGCATCCCATCCCCAGGGCTAAAGTTACAGTCACAAACAGTGGTACCTGGTTTTCATGTGTCTGTTCTGTGGATCTGAACTCAGGTCTTCATGCTTGTGCTGCAGACACCTGACCGAGCCATCTCTCCAGCCCTCTTAAGTGTTTTGTAGTAGAAACGGGGCTGGAGAGATGGCTCAGCAGTTAGGAGCACTGGCTGCTCTTCCAGAGGTCCTGAGTTTGATTCCCAGCACCCATGCTGTAGCTCCAGTTCTAGGACCCAGTGCAGCCACTTTTGGCCTCTACAAGTCCTAGGCATGAATGTGGTGCTCAGACACATGCCAGACAAAACACAGTAAAATGTTTTAAAAGTTTGAAGTAGAAACGGGACTTTTATAAAAATGTGTGTTATGAAAGTAAAGTAGAGTGAAGTCTTAGTCTTAGACTTTTTAAAAGTGTCATGTAGCCAGATGTTGGCCTCAAGCTGGCTGTGTAGCTGAGAATGTCACCAAGTTCTCCATCCTAAGACCTCAGCCTCCCAGGTGTTGGGAGCTCACAATACTGTATGCTTCTTAATTATTAACTGTCTATGTGTTGTTTTGTCTGCATATATATCTGTCTGTATGAGGGTGTTGGATCCCCTGGAACTGGAGTTACACATGTGAGCTGCCATGTGGACTCTGGAAGAGCAGCCAGTGTTCTTAACCACTGACCGCTTTGCTCTCTAACTCCGTGACCAAAAGCAGTGTGGGGAGAAAGGGTTTCCTAGGCATGCACTTCTCTCTTTGTCTATCACTGAGGGAAGTTGGGGCAGGAACTCCAGGCAGAAACGTGGATGCAGGCACTGAAACGGAGACCACTGAAGAACACGGATTACTGGCTTGCTCTCCATAGCTTGCTCAGTTTGCTTATGATACCCAGGGCCACCTTCCCAGGACTTAAGAATCAAAGTACAATAAATAAATACATTAATAATCAAGAAAATGTACCACCAACCTGCCCCCAGGCCATCTAGTGACGGCATTTTCCCAGTTGCGATACTTCTTTCCACATGACTAGCTCATGTCAAGTTGCCAAAACAGGACACTAAGCCACCGTGCCTGGTGACATTTTCCCTACTATTTTCTAAATTTTGGCACTCTGGGGTCTGAATAACCTGCAGACGTATCCTGAAGGTGTTCAGGATTAATAGAGTACCTGTAGAACCAGGGACTGCTGCTGGCTACTTAATGGAGCTCAGGCCAAAACCGAAGGAGTCCCAGAAGTTTTTTAAAAGACTTATGGGGATATATGTTCTAAAAAATTTTTTCTTTTTTGAGGCTACAGACTAGAAAGATGGTAGAGCCAGTTCCAGGACAGCCAGGTATACACAGAGAAACCCTGACTCTGGGGTGTGTATGTTGGGTGTGTGTGTATGAGAGAGAGGGGAGGGGAAGGGAGGAGGGAGCTAAAAGATTATGAGCGGCTTCTAACGGTCCCTAAGTACCCTCTGTAATTCTAGT